ATAAGAAATCTGGTAACAGAACAATCATGAAATTTGGAATGCCTTCTAGAAAATACTTAGGGAAACTGGGCAAGGTTGACATGGCTTTTACTGATTTGTCTGCTTAGTAGGTAATGGGACTGCCAGTCTGGCCGTTTGCATTGGCAATAAATCACCACTAGACATTTTATTTAAAAATTGGCACTGGCTTGGGGGAGGTAAGGAATTGTCAATTTGCTTTTATTTTGAGGCCAGACACAATCATAACACACTCAGGTCACCTGGAAACCTCAGCACACATGGAGAAGCATGGCTCAAGTCTCGGTGGCTGTATTTTTGCATTCCTGCAAAGTGCAGGGCTAAACCAGAGTCTGGGGATGCTGACCAGAGAGATTCTGAGAGTCTGGCACAGCTTGGAGATACCTCTTCTGGAAACCAGGTTGGTTCTAGAGTTATGAGATAGGAAGGATTTCATAGTTATGATATAGTAGGGAAAATTTGGTGACTTTTTTTTCTTTTATTGTACAGAGTGGGTTCCACAGAGCCATGCATAGCACATAACTAGTACATTCAAAACATCACTCTAATATTTAAGAAATGGGTAACTATTTTTGTATCTACCTTATTTTGCTTGGAAGTTAACTTTTAAATTTGTGATAAATTGAGACATCATCTGGAGAGAAAAATACAATACTGAAGTAAGGACTCCTGGAAACATCAACTTCATTTGAGCAATGACAGATGCTCTGTTTTTGAAAATCACTGTAATTAAAAGTTGATGTAATGGGAAGAAGGAAACAAGTTACCTTGGACTCCTATAGTTACTCTATTGGAAATGGTTGAAATGAGTCCCCTTGCTCTTATCTGTTTCCCGATTTCTTGAATATTCATCAAAACCTCACAACATTCCTTCATACATTTTTGGATTTAAGTATATCCATTTTGAAAATATAAATGTTAGTGTCTCAGGACAAGAGTATTACTGATACATTGATTCACCAAATTACCAGGCTTTTTTCTCTGTTTTCATATGATATTTATAAATCTTAATTGTACCTCATATCTTTACCATGCAAACTATTAGAAAAGATCTGGTTTAAGATAGAGATGTATTGATTTAACCATGACCTCATGAATAATTCCATTTGTTCACTTTCTGGAAATACCCAGTTTGCTCTTTTTGCTACAGATATTTGAATTGGATTCAACCTGTCCATCAGAGATGTTTTTTCCTCTCGCCTGGATTTCATGTATGTAATTTTGTTATCAAAATCTACCAAAAAGTAGGAAAAATATGCACCCTAATTTCTGCTTAGTGAAGTCATTCAAAGTGATATAAAATGACAAGAGCGAACAAGGAAATCACTCCAGTGATGTGCTGAAGCACTTGGCAGTTTTCCTTGTATTTGGGACATGAGACTATTTAAAGATATGGGGCATTAATTACTCATAAAAACTTGAAGCATCATATATCTGACCTGATAGGACTTTTCTTGTTTGTTTAAAAATACATAATGTCAGATCATTTAGCAAATGTTTACAAAAGTAAATATTTAAATATTCTGTTATAAATTTAATGGGACCCATATATCTTAGATTGCAATGTCCTATAAGATGTCTGCTAGCAAATGACAACATTCATAAAACGAAAAAATAAAAAGAAAAGAAAAAAAAAAAAAAAGAGAGAGAAATCCCCCAAAGCAGTCACTTAAAAAAAAAAAATACCACAATTCTGCCAGGTTGAGTACATCCAGTGCCTGCACTAAATGTCACGTTGGCAAATCTTCACTCAAAAAGATCAAGATGCAGCATATATGAGACTAAGGAAGAAATAAAGTGCCTAACACCTCAAAATATCTTGGGTAGCCTCCATAATGATGCAAGTAATTAGTAGGTGTTGAGATTTTTTTTCATTTTAATTTGCCCACAGGTAGTCATTGAACAGTATGTTTTGTAGAAGGCAAGGTAAAGATTTTCATCTTGGCATGTGTTTGCAAAATTTGTTTGGATTTAATATACACACTAATTTGGGCAGAAGTTTTCCAGTCTGGATTTATCATACTTGATGGCCCTGAAAGCTAATACGTAAAAGCTTACAAGGTCCATGAGCAACGAATCCTGCAGATTTCCAGCTAACCTGTTAATTCCAGGGTAGTTCAGCTTCAGGGAGCCCTGGTGGTGCAGTGGTTAAGTGCTCGACTGCTAACCAAAAGGTCAGGGTTTGGACCCACCAGCTGCTCCGTGGGAGAAAGATGTGACAATTTGCTTCCATAAATATTAGAGCCTTGCAAACCTGATGGGGCAACTCTACTCTGTCCTGCAGTGTCACTGTGAGTCGGAATCAACTTTGAAGACAGTGGGTTTGGTTTTCATTTTTTGGGTAAAGCTTCTAGTGTTTACCTTTATTATTTCTCCTACTGTTTGAGAGTTACTATGGGGCTTAAGTTATGTGTGTGTATGTGTGTGTGTGTATATTTGTACTCGAGTGTGTGAAGGAAACATTAACTCCGTTTGTGGAAATCATAGTTCTAATGTTATTTTCATTGTTTTGTTAAAGACACTTCTTTCTTTTTCATCCAAAATTTAGATGTGGATAAAATAGTTGGCTTACATAAAATGTATTGAGATATGAGAATTAGTGGGGATAAAAATGATTCAGGGGGAAATAGTATATTTTTTAGAAGGTATCTTATTCTCAAAGAAAATAAAATGTTATTAACGTTCATTGAGTTCTTTAAGTACAAAAGGGCACGTGCACACACATACGTTCTTTCACTCCTCACTCACTTGCTAACTCAAGCAAAAATAGTCTCTAAGGGAAAGAGATGCAACACGGGTGCCAACTTCCCCAATATACCCAAGAATTTCTTTATTTAGAACCTCTCGTGCTATTTTTTTTTTTAAATCTCTGGAATCCCAGGGATTTTCCCATCCCTGTACATGCTTGAGACGTTTCAGAGTATGGTAACCCCCTCTTGGAATCCTCTGACTCTTCTGGTTTATTTTTAAAATGTGGGCAACGTTAGTACACAGAGAAGTGACTGTTCCTATAACAAAGGCGAGTGAGATTCCCAGCCTGCATAACAATACTTCTGAAGATCATTGTAGGGTAGAGAGGCCAACACCATGAGCCACCAAGGCCTCCCATTAAGGAGTCCTTGGAAATCAAGAGATTTTAATCAAGATTTAAAATCAAGACCATTCTAAGAAGGTGGGGATAGCATGCATTGCAACATTGAGAGAACGCTTAGTGCAACTCTTGGATGTTCATTATATAACAGTTGATCTTTGCCGAAAACCCAAGATATAATAAATGTCTAATCTTTTCTTTTTTCAAATTTAACAGATACAGTAGAACGGAATTCGGTAATAAATTTGCTTGCAACACAAATAATGGCAACTTGGCTCTTCTTGGGCCAGACTGTAATAATCTCTGAAGCAATTATCCTAGTATTGTCCCATGCACTGTTTGTGTGAAACGACTGATAGATGCATTTAAAAAATATATCATATTTGCATATGCATTTCTGATATAAACATTCCTCCTTTTACAATAGAGCACAATGTGCAATTACAGAACACTCCTTTCACTTTTGAACGTCTGAGTCTGAGACTCACACAAACCACACTTTTGTTTGACTTCAAAATGTGGGTGCCAAATGAATCTACTGCACTAGGCTTATGAACACTACCGCAACTGTGCAGCCACTATTTCTCTACTGGGAGAATTGTTTCGGCAGATAAACCATCTGGCTTGAAACACAGCCCTCTTTGAAAATATTCCCCATTATGTTAACTCTGAAACAATGTGTACAACTATGCTCCAGTGGAGGACATGGTTAACAGAAATTCAATGTAAAACAATATCTGCTCTGTAATCTTTGGCTAAATGTAAAAAAAAAAGAGGTAATCGAAATGCAAGATTTTAATTCTTTATAGAGTCATTGTGGATGTGGCAAAAGATGAAGAAAATTCAGGAAAATATTTAATAAGGAACTATAATGGGAGAACGTTTAACATAGTGACTCTTTCCTTTAAGAACGACCCATGAAAAACGTGGCTCCTTCTGTTATAAGCATTGTGAAGATGGTACATTAATGCTTTGTGTTCATAATTTCCTTTTTACTAAGTATTATTAAATATGGATTGATTATATATGGTAGGAGAATTGTCAGAAGCTACTTTTTATAGAAAAAGAGCCTGAAATGAACTGGGTTCTTCAATATGATTTATGAGTCAGGGACACTGCTGGAAAACTAAAATAAATTTTATCAGGTAGAGAATATTAATTTACAGTAGGAACAGTTAATAACTATAACTATCTAGAAATCTAGAAGAAATTCTATAGAGTTTTAGGAATTCAAGCCAGTAATGTAACTGTTACGGAAGGAAGCTAAATAGAAACGGGATTTTTAAAAAATATATTATTTAGGTTTGAATCTACTTAGAATGATGTTAAAGTAGAAGACTTGGATGAAGTTATAGGAAAGCTGAGCACACCTGAGCCTATTAGATCTGGAAAAATCTTTGGTGGGAGCATTTGGGCCATTGGTTGGGGTAATTGTAGGAGTGGTCAGAATATTACAGAAATGAAGTAAAATTGAACTAAGTCCTGGTAATTACTACAGAGTATGTGGAGTGAGAGAAAATCTTAGTGAACAGAGCTACTGGGTCAATTGTTGGCAAAGATTGATGCCATATGATGAGAATTCCCTTGAGGCTAAAAGAAAATGGTATGTATAGGGAAACACGGATTTTTCTCGTTTGTTACAGAATTGCCTCATATATCAGAGACTCTCAGTTTTGTTTTTTTTAGAGAAATAGAATTTAGTCCTGGTTACTTTGTCCTTCTAGGTTCTTTCTTCACCACTCTTTGGGTTTAGCTATGCAAACACACATCTCTCAACAAAAACCTCAATTTTAGACCTACAAGGAACCATGCTGTTTATTTTTTTCTAGTATTTTTACAGATGAGGGAACTAAAGTTTATAGAGTTTAAATCACCTTTTCTTTCATTTTAGACAAAGAACTTACATTAATCACAGGCTTCATTCCACATGCTGTTCATCCAAGGTGATTACTGAATAATGGTTTCCAATAAAGAAATTGAGGCCCAGTGAATCACATGAGCTGACCAAGAGATTCAGGAGCATCCTCATGGAGGACTAACCCACAAGATACGAGCTACTGTAAGTACAAGTACCAAAACCAAAAACCAAACCTGTTGCCATCGAGTCGATTCTGACTCATAGCGACCCTATAGGACAGAGTAGAACTGCCTCATACGGTTTATAAGGAGCAGCTGGTGGATTCGAACAGCCAACCTTTTGGTTAGCTGCCGAGCTCTTAAAATACGGGATAAAACAAAAACAAAAAACAAACCCGTTGCCATCGAGTCACATTCCAACTCACAGTGAACCTATAGGAGAGAGCAGAACTGCCCCATGGGGTTTCCAAGGAGTGGCTGGTAGATTCGAACTGCCTACCTTTTGGTTAGCAGCCAAGCTCTTAACCACTGTGCCACCAGGTGAACAGAAATCTGTCCCTAAGTGGGAGGAAGGCACTTTTGAGAGAAAGGCTGGAGAGCAGGAGAAAAAACATTTGGTCCTCGTTATAGAATTAAATGGCATGTAGTTAGTGAGTGGAATATATGTTAATCTGGATTTATTTATTTCCTCACAATCATTTTAGAACAAAATATACAACGGCCTAACACATGGGGGGCAATATCAGGTTGAAATCTACCTTTGTTTCCTTCTGAAGAGGAGGTGCAACATAGATTTCCTCTGTGCTGGGAAATGCGCTATGAGGTCCTAAAAGCGCCGGGATTTTCTCAGTCCATTCAGGGCCATTAGCTGGAGCAGGCACTCTATTAAGTTATATTGTGTCTATGTTTATGACTAGAAAGTGAACTCTGGATTATGTCTCTAGCAGGAAAAGAACAATCAGCAAATTAATGTACTGGACTTCTATGAAGTCTTCTTTGGTAAAGGTTAATTATCACTCTAACACTTTAAAGGTCTGCTGTCGCGAGTAGAGTACTTAACACATAAGCTTGTGTTTGCATTTCCTAATTTTTTTTCCCCCACCAGAGATCTAGATACACTGTCATGTGGTAAGGATAGATTTTTCTGGGGTGGAAATTGATACATTGTTAGATATTAATGGGCCATTTGATTTTTTTTTTGCTCTTTCTTCATCTGCAATTATATAGATGATCTGTGGTGTGTGTACTTGTGTGTGTATCAAATTGCCAAGGCTCTCAAAGATTTAACAGAAACATTTATATATAGAACACAGAAGATAAAATTTAAGTAATTGTTATTGGAAAACAAAGACAATGTGACTTGTCTCAAGGGCTATTAGAATACGACAAGGCAAATATTTGATGATACATACATAAAATTGAACTTCTCTATGTCTTTGGTTAGCAGTTTGAGTGAAGAAGTTTTAGCCTTGAAAAGGCATTTATGCCTACTGATCATAGTCCCAAAAATGGGATTCTGAGGAAACCTGAGGAGTTGTCCCCACAGGGCTAAGTAAGAGGACAGTGGTGAATGATTTACTTGTTTGCTGCCTTGCACAATTCTTCAGGTAGATCATGTCTCCTGACCCTTCAAAACTTGACAAAGAATATTCAGTGAAGCAGAACCAGGTAGGTTACCTCCCTGTCTTAGATGAAAAAACAAAACAAAACAAAACAAAAAACCCGCAAAATCCAGCAATCCACAGCAGACTTTATAACCTCATGGTCAACACTGTTGACTCAAGTAAATTAAGCAAGAGTTGAGGTTTAAAAAAGCACGAAATGAAAACTAACCTCACTAACTGCACTGAGGTGCCAGAGGTGTCCGTGCTTAGGGCAGGTAGTAAGGTAGATTAATAACAGGCCCCTCCTAAGAAGGTTTAGGTTCTTACTGTCAGAGGGTAATAATTAATGATCAAATGTTAATGGAGATACTGGGCTGTTGATGTCATTAATTCAGCTCAGTGGAGCCAGTTCTGCCTAGGATCTGCCACAGCTGTTACTGTGCTTGCTTAATTATTCCAGTGCCTTTGGGCTCTTTTTCTTTCATTTTTTTCTTTACCCTTTTTTCCCCCTACTAACTATAGGACATTATGTTTTCACTGACGCAGAATTATGAAGAGTCTCCTGTTTTCTTGGCAGAGCCGGGCCAAAAATACGTGAAAACCCAAAGGCAGCAAAGGAGACCATAACTTTTTACTTAATGAAAAGATGGAAAATGCTGAAGAAAGGCTATCTTTACACAGACAGATTGTGCCGATATAATTTTTGGGTTCTTTAAGGATTTGGATGTAGAAAGTGAACTCTAAGCTGTGTAAAATGTCAAAGTGCTCACCCTCTCCCACAATCAAACAAAGGGAATACAGAAAGAGTGGCACAACAGTGGTGTTAAAATATAATGCCATACAATCAGTCATCCAAGAAAGAACCAGAAAGTTAGCTTTGCTGGGCAAATTGAGGCAAGGAAAAACACAATGAGGGAAATGCCACTACCATTAAAATTCAGCTGTAGGAGTGTATGAATTTGCCTGGTGTGCTTTCAGAAACTTCTTTCATTTCTTTAACTTTGTGTCTCTTTTGTCTATCGCATTGCTTAAGTTTAAGGAAAACCATTCTTTGCTTTGTAAATACCGTTTGGATCTCCCTCCCCTGGCCTGGCTTAATAGTCACCACATTACTCACTTTACTGCTTTTAAATTGGAATAGGGTGTTTATTTGGTTTTTAAAAGATCTCCACCTTTCAAAATGTATAACTAAAAAGACAAACAAACAAAAACAATTTCCTTGCTTTGTAGGTGTATGTTCCCAGTTCTGATGGGTGTTATAATTTCAGACTCGTTCAGAGTATCTTGAGCCTCAATGCTGGAATGCTGTTTGACTCACTTCCAAACTGAAGAGCTTAAAAAAAATGTGAAGCACTACAACAATTTTAAATCTCTCTCTATGCTGCACATGGCAATTTAAAATAATTGGAGCGCTTCAAATTTTTATATGCCCTCAAATTTGGAAGTGACTGGTTCTGAGCATGTGCAGTACACAATGATTTAAAATGGTTAGAGTCCCTCAAATTTATTGTTAAGTGTTTCAGCTTGAGAGTAATAAGAGAACCTGGACTTCGGCAGTTAAAGGTGATTTAAAATGATTGTGGTATTCAGATGTTTTAGAGGTGATCTGAATTCCGGACACAAAATTCTGTGTACATTTTTAACTCATTGTTAAAATAGGCTCATTTTTTTTTTTTAATTCAAAAGATATCATTAGTCCACCAGAAGAAGCGTTTAAATAAACCGCTTAAAATGCACCGTAACAGAATTTTGCTTTCGTTGCTATAGTCCCCACTGATAACCTGAATATGATCATGATTTTAAAGCCAAATGCCAAGATTTGGCAAGGAAAGAAAACTATTGTTTTCTAGTTTGTGCATGGAAAAGAAATGTATTCAGTTAGAAACACCTGATGCACTCTGGTGACAATCTGTCAAGTCAGTAGTCCATCCGTGGAAACTATCCTGTTTTTGATTTAAACAACAAGGAGTTGTTTGAACTATTGCATAAATCATCACTTCTAATGCATTGTCAAATTTATTTAAATATTTCAAATCAAGTGTTTTTATTAAAGATTATTTAACTTAAAAATTCGTATCATTTAATTTATGAGATGAAATATATCTACTTTGGTGGCTATTGAACCAAATGTGAAGGCATATAATTATAAAATATACAAGATGGAATCCTCAGATGATGTACTCGGTTGCTTATGGGTCATTCAACCTTCCTCAGATCTTTTACCAAAGGATATTCTCTGAGCGGGAACATTTAAACTTGCTGAGTTCCCTGATGCCGAGATTCTAACGTGTAAGGTAGATTTATAGTTCAAAAGTTAATACTAAGTAAGAAGGAATCTGGTCATTAAAAGTCAGCTAAAATTCTTAACATGTTTTATTTGTACCTTTGAAAGCCACACAAAAACTCTTTTACTTGATTTAAATGAAAGTGACAAAGGTGAAATTCCAGCATATTTCTCAGTCACTTCCCTTCCTCAGTAAATGTTGCCATTTTGATAAAAATTAGGATAAGTTGATTGTGGATTTGATTTTTTTAAACCCAAACCTGAAGTTGGAGTTTGAAATATCCTGCCACATGCAAACCATCTAATCTTATATACTAACTTTATGAATCTTTGTATTTATATTAAGCAGAAATTTAATAAGCTTAGAAATAGAAAATGCTAATAATAGAAACTATGTTGTTTGGGATTGGAGTAACCCCAGGGATTTAGAAACCCTGTAGTCAACCTTTGCCCTCACATTTATTATTAGTTTTTAAAGTCTGTAAAATATGTTTATATATTTTTAGTCTCCCCTCTTACATTGCTCTTTTGTGATGAATTTTGATATGCAGAAAAAAAGCTATGAAAACTTGTTCAATTATTTCTGGTTGTGCTAAATTAAGAATGTGTCAGTGGACGAGTGTTTTGCTATTAACGAATTGAATTAAGCTTTATTTAGGTCACAGGTAGAATGAGCACAATTATTTCAAGGTAGCCTTTGTTGAACACATAAGAATGCCTGGAAATTGCCAAGTTCTAAAGCCTGGTTTCACCAAAATTGTGTCCTTGCTTTAGCTATATCAGTTTGAGAATACATAGGAATTGGAAAGTTTATTTGGAAAGACTAAAGTTACTGTTAGCTCAGTAAACCCATTCAAATAAACATCTGATATGCATTGATACATCTTTTAAAATAAAAAATGCTCTTTTCCATATTTTAGTATTGCCTACAGGGATAGCTGGTTTTGTTTGTGAAACAATAAGGGCATTAGTAACAATTTAAAAAGTAACACACAGAATCTATAACTCCTGGTCTTGAGAGATTGTTAAAGAGGTTTCTCAAGTTAAAACTCACTGTCCTTTATAATTATTTTCCATTTTAGAGAAATATCAGGTTATCAAATCTATCACAGACAAAATAAATTCCAGGAGAAAGAAAAAGGATCATTTAAAAAATAGAACCATAAAAACTCAAAGAATGATATAAATTGTATGTGTTTGCTCTGTAGGTATAAAACGACTTTTAATTATAGAATATCTAAGAGAAATGATCAATAGATTTGACCTCATAATAATAAAAAAAGGTCACTTCCATACATCAAAGATACCAAAATT